ATGTGCCACAAGCCGTGGTCTGTTGGTTGGCGGGAGTCACTGTAAGTCCCCTCAGGTCACGGGTTCGATCCCAAGTGACGCCGAGTTCTCGAATATTTAGGCACATGATGCGGACTCTCATCATGGAGCCTAGCGCACGTGAAATCGGTATTTGGGACTGCCAAATACCAATTTCTTTTTTTTTTTAAATTAAATAAAAAAATAAAAAAAATAAAGCTATATATATATATATTATTTAAATTTTTAGTATTTGAATTAGATGTAATGACTTCAATTTTATCATAATTATGTTCGGATTTTAAATTATAAATCTCACTTTTATAAATAAAGATATGGCACTTTTTTTACAACAAACTGTTTAAATTGAAATTATTCCACTTAACCTATCAATTTAACAATTGAGAATTTTTCAATGATTTGAATCAATAATTTTAAAATAAATGAATTAGAATGTAGTTTGAAAAAGTTTTATTCCATCATCATCAGCTTCATTCAAAACAATAAATCACCTCAACAATGAACTCGGCAGTTTTAACAAGTCAAATCTGAGCCCACTACTCTATTCTCCAACAAAACTCCACATAGATAATGTCAATAATGCTAAAAAAATAGACACAGGTTAAAAAGCAAAGGACTCTCATGCCAGCTGCCATGCACTCATTTTATAAAATTCATTGAAGCTTCCGTCCATTCAACAAAATGCAACACTCTCAAAAGCTATATATTCCAACACTTCCGCACAAAGCAAAAAACTCAACCCCCATCCTTACTAAAATAATTAAACAATGTCTTCCAACGCTTCCCTATTGCTTATTACAGTTGTTGCACTTATCCTTTCAGCTCATGCTGCCGATCCTGATATCACCTCTGACTTTATTGTTCCTCCAGGGACCACATTAAATGCTGACTTCTTTACCTTTAGAGGATTTAGAGGATCCCTTATGGGTAAACCAAGGGAAGGTTCCTTCCTTGTAACAAAGGCAAGTAAAGTGGAATTCCCAGCCCTTGATGGACAAAGTGTGTCACTAGCTGTTCTTCAATTTCCACCCAGGGGTTTGAATCCACCACACACACACCCACGTTCTGCAGAGCTCTTAATGGTTTTACAGGGAACATTAAAGGTGGGGTTTGTTGATTCTAACAATAAGCTCTATACTCAACTTTTATACAAAGGCGACGTATTTGTTTTCCCAAAGGGACTTGTTCACTTCCAAGCTAACGTGGACCTCACATATCCTGCTGTTGCCATATCAGCTTTTGGTAGTGCCAATGCTGGAACCGTTTCTTTACCCAAGACACTTTTTGGTAGCGGTATCTACCAATGGTTTGGTAGCGGTATCCACCAATGGATTTTGGCACAGTCCTTTAAAACTGATGTTGGGACCACTAAAAAGCTTGTTGCTGCCAATAGTGCCTGATTAATTCGCCCTTTCAATCTACACTTCATTCAGTTTGCACAATCTTAAATAATTGCATGTGATATACATATGCACATGTAAGATATTTAAGTACTTTCAAATATTATTGGAGGTGAAATTGTTGATGCTTCTATCAATAATGTTGTTATTGTAAGTTTGCTCTTTAAAATAATGATGCCTTAAATAATGAAATAAAGTGTTTAGTTCTTCCGCCCATGTTTCTTGTGCATTTGATGCTCAACGGTCTGCTTTAGCTGAAAATAGTACGAAAAGTATTATTTCCGTGCACAAACTCAACAAGATATCACTTTATTTGGAAAAAAGAAATGGTTCAACTGAAACACTTTCTAGATCTCAAATTTTTGAAAGCAAGGACCAATCCTTTCTATAATTTCAAAAGTATTGATGTACCTGGTACTCAACTTGCTTCTTGACAAAATCTGGCTGTAACATTCATTGGCCTAACTTTTAAAAATACAAAATCACCAATTTCAAATTTTATTGCTTTGTGCTTTGAATCATAATATTTCTGTTGTCGATCTTGAGCAGCTTTCAATCTTATCTCTGATCAACCAAATTTTTTCTATGACTTTATCAACTAACTTAGGACTTAATATTTGACATTCACCAACTTCAACCCAACTTAACGGAGTTCTCAATTTTTTACAAAGTGTTTCATAAGAAGGCATTTTGATACTGGATTAATAGGTATTATTCTAGGCTAACTCGATCATCAGAATGTGCACTACCTAACTACCTCTAAAGTCAAAGACAGTCTCAAAAAATATTCTAATACTTGAACTGTTCTTTCTGATTGTTTTCAGTTTGTAGATGAAATATTGTGCTAAGGTGCAAATGTGTACCCAAGCCTTGTTAAATGTCTTTCCACAACTTAAAGTTGAATCTGCCTTTCAGTCAAAAATGATAACTTCTGGATTTCTGTGCAATCGAATAATTTTTTTTACATATAATCTGATTAACTTTTCAGCTAAATATACATGTCTTATTGGCAGAAAATTCGTTGACTTTGTTAGCCTATGAATAATGACCCAAATATTGCGAGGACATGGCATGGATCGAGAAAATCTCATAATAAAATCCATAACAAATTCTTTTCATTTCCATTCAAGTATAGACAATGATTGCAGCGATCTGCTGGGTCGCTAATGCTCAACTTTTAAAATTTGACAAGCCTGACATTTAAACACCATATAGTCAACAATATCCTTCTTTATACTTGGCCACCAAAAGATCAATTTTGAATATTTGTACATTTTAGTAATGTCAGATGAATTGTGTAACCTAAAAGACTCACAAGAGAAACTTGTTTCTGATAACACCGCTTTCATCAATAGTCATATATGACCTCTTTACTAATTGTAATTGTTTCAAGAGTTTCAGATATTCACTGTTAACTTTTTGGGTTACTTTAATTCTACCAAAGTTGGGTGAACCATTAACTGATGTGAATATCACATAACACCTGACCTTCTGACTTCCAACTGCAAGATCAATTTCTTTAATAATTTCCAACTCTTGAGTAATAATCCAACTTGCACTACAGGTGAATTTACATCTCAAAGCATCGGCAACTACATTTGCTTGGCTAAGACAATATTGTATATCCATATCATAGTCCATTAGAAGCTCTAGTTACATTTTTTGCCCCAAATTCATCTCTTTTGTGTGAAAATGTATTTCAGACTCTGATGATCAGTGAATATCTCACATTTCAAGTCATACAAATAATGTGGCTGAATTTTGGGAGCAAAGAATACAACTAATGCCAGATCATGTGTCAGATAATTTCACTCATGCGGCTTCAATTGTCCAGATGCAGAGGCTATTACATTTTCTTTTTTGCATTAAACACAACCCAAGCCTCGTGACAATGAGTCACTATAAATTTGGAACTCTTATGTACCTGATGGAATAGTTAGTACTGCAACAATGGTTAAATATTTCTTTAGTTCTTGAAAACTGTGTTCACATTCTGCACACTACTTAAATTTAACATCTTTTCTCATCAGCTTGGACAACGACATAGATATATGTGAAAATCTTTTAAAGAACCTACTGTAATATCCGACCAATCCAAGAAAATTGCGTCCCCCCATAACATTCTTTGGAACCGGCCATTCCACAATTGCTTTCATCTTTCGAGAATCCATTGAAATTCCTTGTCCATTGATAATATGTCCTAGACATGCAATGTTTCACAACCAGAATTTGCATTTCAAAAACTTTGCATATAGTTGATTCAGCCTCAGCATTCACAATACTATCTTTGATTATTCAGCATAATCATCAAGGATTCATAATGACCATACCTGGCCCCAAAAATGTCTTAGTTGTCGAATCTGATCTATATGATACCCAGATCTCAGATCAATCCAATAAAATATAGCAGCGCCCTTTGACTAATCAAATGGATCATCGATCATTTCTTACTGGAGGACTCCAAGATGAATTGTTTGGCCTGATAAAACTCTTTTATATCAGTTCCTGCAATTGACATTTGAATTCCTGCAATTCCTTCAAAGCCATTCTATAAGGAGATGTTAAAGTTAAACATGCCCCCTGCTGCACGTCAATGCTAAATTCAACTTCTTGCTCTAATGGTAGCCCTGAAAATTCTTAAAGAAAAACATTAGAAAATTCTGAACCTAGGAAGTTCTTTAATTCATGCACATCTTTATTTAGCACTTCTAATTTGACTAGAATACCAATTCATTATTTCTCAAATACTTTTTAATCCTCACTGCAATGATCAAAGAGGATCGTGCATTTTGATCACATAAGAAATAGAACGACATTTCACCATGTAAGTTGAGTTTCACTCGCCTTTTTCCACCATCCAATCGTAGCAAAATTCTTCACTAACCAGTCCATTCTCAATATGATATCAAAAGTCTCAATTGATATTATACTTAATTATGCTTACAATTTCTTATCATGAATGTTAATATGCACGATACCTTTTCTATTTAAAAAAAAACAAGTTCTGGAGCATAATAACACATAAGACGGGAGTAAAATATATAATATCAATTGATAAACTAGTAGCACACCCATTAAAAATTAAAAATTGTGATGCACCTGAATTAAAGAACAATGACATGCTGATCTCGAATTAAAAGCGTAATTGTAACCATTTCTTCACATTCCTTAGCTTCCTGAGGGATAATTGCAAAAAACTCTAGCTATCACTGGTTACTTATTTTTGCGCTATGAACTTTCACTATTTGTTTGCTTTCTAAAAAATTGAGTTTTGTTGGACTAACTGCATTCCAAAAATTCTTCTGGTTGTCCATATCTTTGAAATGTCGGTGGTCTACTGTCCCTTTTCTTTTTCTACCGACAGTTCTCTGACTGTCCACATCTATAGCACTTTCATGAACTCATCAAACACATGCTAAAATGTTTTTTTCACATTTCTCACAAACCGGTCTTTCTGACTAAGGTTTCTGATTTAATTTTCTTGCTTTGAAAATTTTCAACTGTGCTAAAATATTCTCTTGTTTGAGGTTGTCGCCGTTGACTAGAAAAGTTCAGCCCTTTTTCAATTCGTCTAGCTCGTTCAATAGCACCGAAAAATCATTGATTTCAAATGACGCAAATGTCAACATCAACTAAAAATCTGAGCCTGCATAGAAGTGATATTTTCCTCTTAGGTACTGACAAAATGAGGTGCATATCTGGAAAGAAAACTAAATTTGTCTCATATTGCATGATTGATCTGGACTCTTGAGTGACGTTGAAAAATTTGTCTTGCAGTGCTAATCTAGTTGAAGAAGAAATAAACTAATCATTGAAGATTTTAATAAAATCATCACACTGAATCTGTAAAAGAGGAGTAAGATAAAATTTCACTATATGTTGAATCTGCCACCACCTCTCAGCCTCGCCTTCCAACATTGAAGTGTCTAATGCCACTCTCTTGTTTTTCAAACAAATTATGATATCCAAAATCTTTTCGATCTTTAATAGCCAATTTTCACTAACTATAGAGTCACTGACATCCTTGATTGTAGGTGGCTTGAATGTTTGAAAGATCTTCAAATGTCGATCAACTCTGATATTATGTTCAAGTCTGGGTTTTGTCTTGGAGAATCTTTCAATAACAATCATTTTATCAACCACTTACAATATCAATTGAAGAATCCTCCGTATCTCAGTGTCTCTAGTCTCCTCATTTGCCATTTTCTGATTATTATTTCCATTCAAAACTTTTTAGCTTGTGCTTCTTGCTTTGCAATTGGCATAAGAGAGTGGCCCTCAGTAAATTATGATTCATCTCTAGGCATATTCATTTGTATTAGCGCAATTTATTCTTTAAATGCAATTTATCATATAATCATTATGTCGCGAAAACATGATAGCTTAAATAAGTCATATGGGTTACTTACCCCAGATCCATCAACTTCCAGCTCTGTATAAATCAATTTATATTTGATCTCATTCTTCTTTTAAATTTAATACACTTTTATCATTATTTTCATCCAATATGTTATCTATGATACAACTTTCTATCACACCCCAATTGACCCCTCTTTAAAGTCAATAGTGGTGCAACATAGATAGACGATTCGGTCAAACTAAATTTTCCTTGACACTCAACCTAACTTGTAGAATCAGAACCCAATGGGTGATGAATAAGTCTAACTAAATCATCACAAACATATATGATACATTTCTTTTTATAATTCAATCACATTCACATATACTAAGCGTGAAAAATCATATCACCAAAACTTATATATCTATACAAAAATGTTAAATTCAACATAATAAAAAAACATACCCAAAAGTCTGTAAAAGCTCTCAAAACTATGATATACAAAAATTGTACACGTCACACCTAGTTACTCGCCTGATGCTCCTTACCCCTTTCTAAAAGTCAACAACATATAATGAGCTACAACAAACTCACTAAAATAATGAACGTTAAAATAAGATTTATTGACAAAATAAATAATATACATGTTCATATGTATCTCATGTATATGTCTACAACACATCATAACATATTATATAATCACATAAAATAAGAAAGAAAAGACACGCAATACAGTGAATCATGACGTGTAAAATATGTATTTCATCCAATTATGTATAATCATAAGTATTCATAAGAGTCATTAATCTAACCATAGAAATGTCACTTACAATTATATAGATCTCAACTAATTTCATGTCATGTCATG